GTGTAAATTATGTTAAGATTTTTTTTTCAATAGCAGACCTACTTGAGATTGGAAAACTGAGGAACAAGGCTGTTTACTTTGTTACACTAAAGCTTGAAAAGAAGATTCCACAACAAAGTGCCATGAAATTGGTGCAAAATGACAGTGACTCAGTATCCTTTTATCACACAGAAAAGTAAACAGAACAAATCAATCCATCCATTATCAGGCCACTTACCAGTAACAGAGCAGAATGAATCAGTTTGGGATAAGAACATAGGGATCAAGGAATAACTGGAAAAGGTTCAGTACCAGCAAACAGATAAGTACTTACAAAATCTTTGGCGACTTGACTGAGGAACTGGGTTACAAACATGGCCTGCAGGGTCGTCTCCATATCAGGCAGAGTATTGATGATGTAATCCTCATCTACCTCGTCCACGTTCCTTGGTGGGGGCTGCCTCATTGTTGTGGGACCGTTTGGCATCCAAGCGTACATATCATACTGTAGGGAGAGTAAAGTACGTAGTTGAACTCTGCTATAGCTTTAATAAAGACCTCATCATGCATGGATGGTGTGACTGTGATTATCAGCCATGTTACCTGTCCGTGGTTCACGGCGGCGTGCTGAGCTGAGCAGGTAAACATCACCATGCTCAGGTATTTGACTGCTTCTGCTTTAGTTTCCACTGTTTCAGGGAAATCTAATAAAATGCATAAAAAAATCTTTCTTGGCTTTCCTTAATGCTTAACAAACTCATCACCAGTGATGCTTTCTTTGTGATTTATAATATAAATACATACTTTACCTAAATAAATAAGCAAGAGAAATTTATTTCAGTTATTGACAGTGTTACCTGTTTGTCCCTGAAATCCACAATGGTAAGTATAGCGACAGAAGTTCTGAAGTTCTTCATCCTTTTTAATATCACTGTCATCATTGTAGTATGTATCAACAACCTCCTGAAGAAATCTGAAATGAGCATAAGTACTATTAATGGCCTTTTCAATACTTTTGATACTTTTAACGCTTACAGAAAGTTACAAAAAGATGAAGCCACAAAGTATCTGGCTAATGTACAATAATAAAGGTGGCCTGTCCTTCCCAAGGCCCCTGGCAGAGTGGTGACAGATTGGATCTGTCACGACACACAATCAACAAAAAAATAGGAGGCTCCTTACTCAGATATTGCATCCCAGATTTGCCTGGCATCATCCCGNTCACCAGGCTTTTGTTTCAACTGTGGAAGTGCAGAAAATGGACATCATCTTAACCGCTCAATGTATTACAGTAAAGGGCTGCTTCATGAATAAACCTTCATGACCTGGATGGCGATGGGCATCAGTCCCTGCGCCGTCTCCTGAAGAAGCACGATTGGTGCAGCCAGATACTGTCGATGGCCATGAACGATGCCCTCTTTAACGTTATCAAGCAGTTCATAATCAACCATATAAATGTTCCCATTCTAAGCAAACAAGACAAAAATATCAATTATAATAATAAAACAGTATAATTTCTCCCTTAACTGCAAAACTGGTTAAGAGATTGACCTATTAAATTAAGGTTGATTCTAGTATAACCAATTAACATGATCTGTTGAACTGAAAATGCATCACATTTCCACAGACTAGGGGATAAGTCGTTTAATGGTCCCACCTGGATAAGCTCGCTGATGTTAGGGCACACGTCTGATATCCCCGGAATTTTCTCTGGGATTTTTGTGCACTTCTCTATCATTCCTGGGTTACATCCGTTAAGGAACTGACTCCCAAAAAAGGCATCATCCTTCCAGTTTTCAGAGATGTACTCTGGAAGAAGGAGAAAGGTACTTTGGTTGTGATGACCCTATACCCCTCAGAAGAGAGAGTCAGGATGAGGATCATGGACCCAATGTCCACTCAAGAGGAGATGAGGACAGTCCCTGTGACTGTGTGAATATGTCTTTACCCCACGCTGTTCTTACTCTGTCAGAGTCCCATCATCTGTTCACAAAGGGTGCCAAAAGTATGGTACTTCTTTTGTGTTGGTTTTCCACTGGTGTAAAACCTGGTATCGGCGCCAAATTACATCATCAGTGATCGCCCCTGACTGACATCATCACAAAGCGCGACGCGGTATTTCTTTCGCTGAATTCAAATATGTTATTATGATCCTTCACTTTCCTGTAGTCCTGCTCAAGTTTTTTGATTTTCAAGCGGCATTATTCGGTGTTTCGCTTGTGCCCCATTTCTTCCAAACGGCTTGCTATTACGGCAAATACTTTTTTATTTCGAGTCATGCCATCCAAATCCCACTGGATCTCTTCATCCGACCATATGACGATTAAAGCCTGTGTTTCCTCGTTTGTCCATCCTTCCATTTTACTATTTTAATATTTTGTTTCTCGCTGTTCGCTGTGTGTTTCAAAAGATGGCAGTTGTATTTTGTGTTTCAGCAGCAGGCTATTTGCATAACC